AGTGCTGGGCTGCCTCTTCGCTCCAAAGATCCACATCATCCTCTTTCAGCCCCAGAAGAACGTGACCACGCTCAGAGTGGCCACCACTCGATTCAGTGTGGCCACTGGCCCTGGCTCCAGCTTCTCTCAAGGTACAGTATTGTTTATGATCTCTGTCTTTAATATATCAGAATCATCAATATAATCAACAGCAGCTGTTTAAATCTAACATATTGATTAACTGCTGTCACCCGTATTCAAAAATATGGTTTGCCAATGTCTGAACCACCATCAGAAATGAAAGATATTGATCAAAATATTCAGTGCTGTATGATGGCGGAGTAATATTGGAAAATAAACATAAAGTATCATTGATTCTGTGAGTGCAGGTATTTGGCTTTATTGCATTGCACTGATACTTCTACTGTAGCACTGAAGTTGACGCTTAGGATAGAGTATACATACTGTATGTGAATCTCACGAAATGGTTCAATAAAATATTTCACCTCAAAATGACAAATAAATAAATTAGTATTATGATAAAAAAGATCTCATTCTCAATAATGTACTGGGAAAATAATAATTCTACTTTTTTAAATGGTACAATGCTTAATATGCATCATGGGAGCGTTTGTGGTACAGCTTTTAATCAGTGCTGCATTAACAAAATATATATACCACAGTGATTTATACTGTATTGCAGTAATAGAAATGTAAGGAGAAATGAGAATAATGGAAATGACATTACAGTAAAAAAGAAGCAAAACAGTGAGGAAAAATAGTTAATTAGAGTTAATTGTGTTTTAAAAAAACAAACAAACTGCAAAGTATGGAGCCCCGGATATGTCATATGGGGGGGAAAAAAATACAAATCGTGTCTACGAATTAAGAATTCATACCCACAAACTAAGAATTTGTTCCCTCATTTTAGTTTAATTGTTGCCATGAATTAATAATTCATTGTACTAATTTGTTACTTTGTTTTGGTAAAACGTGGCCACTTAGTTTGTAATAATTTGTTCCCTTGTTTTAATAAAATAAAATAAAAAAGGAACAAATGAAGGGAATTAATTGATTATTCGTTGGAACAAATTCTTAATTCATGGCCGCAATTTAGTGTCAGATGTGTGTTATATTTCTGATCATTCAGTGGTCCGTTGTCAGTTATTCCTAACATATATAATCAATATATTTTTTTTTGTCAGCATGTCCTGTGCATGGCTCTGAATTAAAGTAAAAAAAAAAAAAAAAAGTTCATGATTCACCCAAATACTTGAAAACATCTATTGAATGGCAATGGTAATAACTGTAATTTGCAGTTTACAATATCTTTGTGTTATTAACAATGTCTTTACAGCCTCGGCCTCCAACATTGTGCCTACAGTATGTAATGGCAGAGAGGTAGTGGACTCAACAACATCCTCACTCTGAGAAACAGGATTCCTGTTTGATTGCCAAATGTGGTATACAGATAAATCTTATCTTCACTAGTCATGAAATCAAGTGTTTGCTAATGTTGAGGAGGCTATTCGGAATAAAGAATGCCTGTTATGTTGTTCTCAAGGTGCTGTGAGTACAATATCCCATTTTGTTTCTCTCTCTCTTTCTCTCTCTGACTAGTTAGATAATATCAGTAGGATGCCAGTTTAAACTCTGTATACCCGTTCTTTTTATGGAAACCATAATAAAGTATTGTTTGAGATATGGAGTTAAAATATAGTAAATCTGTTTAAAGTATTATATACAAGATGTTTTTAATGTAGATTTATGGTGATTCTGGTTTGTGCTTGTAATTTATGTAAATAAAATGTGTTTTATATGAATACAAGCTCTCCTGGTTGATTTAACTTGATACTGTCTTGTGGTAGTTTATTATATATCATTCACATTATATTATATTTCAATTCCCATCAGTGTACACCGGAAAAAATTACACACATCAGCTTTAAAGAACTAAATATTTACACAAATGTTCATGGCATAGAATAAAAACTTGTGCATTGTCCCCATCTAGAGGATATAGTTGCTCATTACATCAAATTGGGTGAGGTCAACTTTTATTAATAAAGTAATATTCATATGTTAAATGCTAATTTGTTGCACCGTGTACAGTAATGCACCGAGTGACCTTTTTATAATATAGGTGATATGCAAATGCAAAAGTCATTTAAGTAGTTACCATGTTGGAAGATAAATAAACCATTAAGAAGAATAACAAGACAAAATATTGCAAATACTGCAATTACTGCACTACATATTTAATGCACATACAGCAGTCTACTGAAGAAGTCTCATAGACAAAGTATCATATTTATATATCCTTAATCTTTAATAATCACAATGTTCACATATGTAGCTTATCACAGTCTGACTCGTGTTACAGAAAGGGTAAATGATATACACCATGTTGCACACTCAATCAGTTGTGGCGAAATGACAAACAGGAAATTGTCCTGTCAACCTGCTACATTCATTTTTGTGATGGTTATATCTGTCATATGTCATTTTTTGCCTCATTTATAACAGTGAGGGCCTTCTGTTGAACTGTCCATATACCCCCATTGGAGGATTGTTCATTTTAGACAGTTACTTTTAAACAGTATTTTTTTTAAATATTGACTATAAAAACTGCTTCCGTGTAAGCACTGCTTCCATTCAAGTCAACCAGAATTATAACTTACATTAAGAGAGAAGTTTGATGTTACTGAATTAATTGTGTCATGTTATACAGGTTCTAGTTTTGAAACAACTTGTAACAATAAAAGTTAATAACTTGACAAATAGAGAGTTTTTAAATATAGTTTTTGCCCTTTAAGATACACCAGAACAAACGTTGGCATGTATATTATCAGAGAAATTAACTAAAAACAATAAACCGTACTAATAAGAACAAGACTAATTGATTGATTGATTGATTGGTTGATTGATTGATTGATTGATTGATTGATTGAACGAACGTCATGAACATTTTCATCGCATGTCAGATTGTGTATTTTACGAATTTTGAATTTTATCCCAACTTCGGTGACATATACAACTGCCATTAGAATATTAGAAAATTAGAATATTCATTTATCTTTTTACAGTACTACAGTAACTAAACTACAGTTACTGTGGTAAATGTTTGCTTCCTGAACGTCTGAGCAACTGTTGTGACGTTGACGTAAACGCGCTCAGAAACGCGGAAGTCAGGCTGCAGACAGTCCCGAAGCGTCAGAGTGAATCTGCAAACTTTGTCAGCACAGTTACTAGCAGGTAAGTATCATTTCATATGACTAATAATAAAATCGCCAGTTATTTTTAGCAGTCATATTGCTCTGGGCTGCGTTTCCCAAAAGCATCGTAAGCTTATGTACATCGTAAATCCATTGAAACCAATGGAGCTACGATCAACTTAGGCTTTTGGGAAACGCAGCCCTGTTATGTTAGGCTATATGTTGCTACAGGTATGTAAAGCTACAGCTGCAGGTGTGCATAAAGAACACTCAGTTTAGCTACAAGCTTTGCGTTAACGACATAGCTCCTGACTCACCGCGATTATCAACACTTGCGATTTAACATGTATATAGCATTATATTTTTACTCGTGAACATATTTGTCAGTTAGCAAGTGTTTTCGTTGTTGACTAGACAAAGATAAAGGCATTTTCAATGTTGCCAAGCTCTGTTAGGCAGCCAGGAAGATCTACGTCACTTACAGTAAACTCCAGCATGTCTGCACATGTCTCAGAAGTACAGTCATGGCCAAAAGTTTTGGCAGTGACATACATTTTGTTCTCATTGGCCAAAAAATTAACTTTTCACAAAAAAAAACACATTTCACTGTTTTTTGATCCTGACACAAAATGACCAGCTAACATTAATTGACTAATCATATCAGCAGCAAATGTGAAAGTGTGAATGAGTACTAGTCAGGTAAAATCACTATCATACTAATTAGATTGTAAGAGCAGACTGATTGCTATAAAAGGAGGGAAGAAGCGATTCCAATCACTGTGTTCTTGTTAGCAATGGAAAGCAAAAGAAACACGTGCATCCATCATCGCTTTGCATCAAAATGGCCTCACATGCAAGGAAATTGCTACAAAGAATATTGCACCTGAAAGAACCATTTACCGGATCATCAAGAACTTCAAGGAGAGAGGACCGGACCGACTGCAGTGAAGTCATCTTCAGGACGTCCCAGAGTGTCCAGCAAGCGCCAGGACCGTCTCCTATTGAGGAGTCAGCTACAGAATCGTGTCAGCAGCAGTGCAGAGCTTGTTCAGGAATGGCAGCAGGTTGGTGTGTGAGAGCATCTGCACGCACAGTGAGGCAAAGACTTTTGGATAACGGCCTGGTGTCAAGAAGGGCAGCAAAGAAGCCACTTCTCTCCAAGAAAAACGTCAAGAACAGACTGAAATTCTGCAGGAAGTACAAGGATTGGACAGCAGAAGACTGATGGCAAAGTTATTTTCTCTGATGAAGCTCCCATCCGACTGTTTGGGACATCTGGAAAATTGATTGTTCGGAGAAGAAAAGGTGAACGCTATCATGAGTCCTGTGACGTGCCAACAGTGAAGCATCCTGAGACCATCCATGTG